GTGGCAGAAGGGGAAAGTGTGCAGGAGATCGCTGTTGTTTTTCGACGATACCTTTGCGACAGGGCAGCCAACACTGCATGGATCGCCGAGCTATCTGACACTGAATCCAAACACATTAATTTTACATAGCACACAAAACAGCATGATATGAAAGCAGCCCACAGCTATAACACAGGCTGAGGCTACAAAACAACCTGCATTTGTAATGGTTTTCATGTGTTATTGACATACAAAAACAAATAGTAGAATATAAGATAAAACTGAATATTATTTTCTGAGATATTCAGCCCAAAGAGAAATAAGGAGATAAAAAGACAGAGAGGGAGCTGAGCGGATTTGGGCAGAGGGATGAGGGAAATGGGGAGGAGGAGAGTGTGTTTAGGAGACATCAGTTAGGAGGCAAGTCGTCCTTGACTCTGCCCTCCACCAACCTATTCCCAGCCCTCTGCATCACACTGCATACAGGACTCTGCCTGCTGGAAACACACACCTGTTGTCTGTGTGCCAGGAATTCACAGGAGACACATATAGACCCACTAAGAGACACAAGACCACCGTATAGAGGGGTAACCATACACCAGCTGTTCACTTAACACCCCGATACCTACCTCTGTGTGACCAGATACCTTTTGATCTCAGACAACAGCCACGCTAGAGGCTCACAGGCTCTACTGTACTGGGGCACAGAGATGCTATCAGCTAAATGCTAAGAGCAGCATGCTAACATGATGATGTTTATCAAGTATAATGTTTTATCATGTTCATAATCTTGAGTCTATTGTTGGCTAATAGAGTGGTGCAGTGATGACAGATTTTGGTAGGCTAAACCAGAAGTGAGCACCATAAGGGCTCCCTCTAAATATACTTCGCTAGCCAATACAAACATGAATGTTACATAGTGATGTCACTCTGTTACAGAAGTAAACAAAGGAGTCCAATGGAGGCGTTTCAAAAAGCATAACTCAAGGTGATGATACTTGCACGCTATGTTCAGCAGGATCATCTCCACACATTAACACCACATTTGTAAGAAATGAAGTGTTAATGCATTCTTCCGAATTAAAAAGCTAACATTTTGGGGAGTCAAAGTTATTGCAAGTCAATATATAATCTTGATTTAATAACCACTGTGGATTCTCCTACTGTTTGACAGCATTATTTGATATACAATAACAGTGATTCAAATTCAGTGATGAACTAATGCTTCTTTTAGCCTGCTCTGTGGGATGTTTGCTTTGGACTTTTTTCTGCCATGAAATATCTAAAGTGTATTAATTAATAATGTCTTGGCACATGCTGAATATGTGAGTATGCAGCTGGACCACAGAAATCTTTGATGCATGTGTGCTCATATATTTTTGTGTTGGATAGATGCTTCTGTGTGTGTTGCCGAGTGCAGCGCAACGTTAGACGTCATGGATCATCGGGGTGATTCCACTGATCCCAGAAAACAGAACAGATGTGACCTGATGTTTACTGTTTGCTGCTAACTTTAGAATGCATTCCTCATGGGAAACACTGTTCACAGTATCTGTATGTGTGTGTATCTGAGGCTCGTGCTCAGTCAAGCTTGGATCGTGACTTGAGATCAGAAGTTAGATGTTGACATTCCCATCGTGGCTAGATGCGTGCAGGGTGCTTTGAGCAGTCTTGTGATGTGGATCCAGTGCGAGTGTGTGTCTGTGTAACAGGAACAGGGTGGTGAAAAGCATTTCTTACCTTGAAGACATGATGGTGGTTTGAGGTTTTCAAGGTTGCCAGCGATGTCTGGGGCCTGCAGCTTCTCACATCAACAGCTCACTTGTAGCACACATAGATGTCATTAAATCAAAGGTTTCTATTAAACAATCAATCAGTCACTAAGTATCGGTGATGAAAATTACAATGAAAGCTCTCCAATGGTTTGCAGGTGTAATTGCTTGTTTATTTATTTCGTTAGATACACGGGGTGTTTCTCAATCGCGAGTAAAGCTGCTCCAGAGCCACTATTTCAAGCATACTACGTCATCGAGTGCCGCCGAAGTACTGTTCCAATGTCCAGCATACTTGGAAATCTACCGAGCCCGGCGTACTCCGTAGCGAGAAATTTTGAGACTGCACATGAGTAGACTCCGCGGTCTTAAAATCCCCACAATGCTTTGCGCACGGACCAATTTCCCCAAATCTGTGGCGGAAAATGTAAGGCGGGGCCTCTCATATGACGCACACCTGCACACTTGCTAGCGTGTTCCACTCTTTGTTTTCCGAATGCCAGGAAGTATTCTTGCCTCGCTTCTGAAGCAAGATGCTCGGCAGACATGTGCTACCAAGCAAGCGTACTCGAGATTGAGAAACACCCATGGTCTAGTTTTGGTTGTGTCTTTGTAAGTCAATCAATTCCCTTTCTTGTGAACTATGGTCATTCAATGTACACTATAATACAGTAGTTTTCATTGTTTCTGGCAATTGCATGTCCACACTAGGACTGACACCAATAAGGACTTTCTTTATCAATTCATCTGATGGATTCTTTTTTTTGTGTATATATATATATAAATATATGAAAGTGCCATCACAATTTGTGTCAAAAGGGGCAGATTCAAATGTATTGTTTTTGTCAATGTTCAAACAAAGACATACAAAGAAAAACCGCAAATCAGCACATTTGTGAAGCTGGAAGAAGATAACAATGACAAACTGATTATATACAGAGTTGCAGAGTAATATTCTTTCAATCAATGAATTGCCTGAAATCACATGTGCCGTTGCTTATGCTAGAAAACAATCTAATATTAGACTTATTAACCTTTAGGGAAAAACAAGCAAAGGACACACATGAAATGAACTAAGAGATGTTTTAAAGGTCATGTAGTAAATGAAAATACCGATCTTTCTGATTCAACTCAGCAGGAGTTTGGTTCATCAATGTATGTTTGCTTCTTGGTAATTAATCAGAGGAGCCTTCAATTTGTGAAAACAAGTAGAGACTTACAATCACAATCAAGTGGAGATGTTTGGATTGAGTTGAAGTTAGTTTCAAGTCAGCATTGATAGGCTTGATAATTGAAAAATTGCCTTTGGGAAACCCTACATTTCCAGTAAAACTCTTTATACAACTATATTATTATAACCAGGCCTTCACAACAAAGGAGTCCAATGGAGGCGTTTCAGGCAGGGTGTGTGGGAGAGAAACTCCCTCTGGAGGGAACACAGGGATTTTAGCCTCAGCAGACCATTTACATGCACCCAAACCTCTATCACACTACAGGAAAGGGGAAACCTCAAAAAGCATAATAGGGGCCCTTTAACGGACCACATACATTTTTGGAGAAACTTCTATCTTTACATTTGGAATGTTATTAAAAAAGGTACGTGGTGTCCGTCTTGCTAAAGAAGAGTTATTTTTATAAAATAAATAAAATGATGTTTTGCCGTGTCTGAACTGTTGCATATGGAGACTGTGTTTGGTGTTACTCCATTATGTTGAGCCCTCATCGTGATATTGTCAATGAGCGTCGTGCCTTGCCGTAGCCTTGACACTAACCAGATGATGCCCTTCAAAAACACACACACACACGAGCAGGTTATCATGTCGCTAACTAGCCTTCCAATCCTCCCCAATCGTCTTTGTTCTCTTATGTCCTCCTCTTCCTTTCTTCTCATGTCTTCAGGCAGGCGAGGATGACTCATATTGGGGGAGCTTTGAGGTGCATCATGGGATATATGGGGATTGGATAGGAGGAGGTAGAGGGGGATTTGAGAAAAGGCAGGGAGGAGAGGAGGGGAAATCTTGAAAATCTGGCCCAGATATTTGGACACCTGAACAAGTATGTGAGAGCTGAACTCGATGTGTCTCTTGAACTCACCCTTTATTCTCCACTACGTGGAACATCAATTCAAAATGTCATTTTTTTCTTGAATTCATTCACATGATTTTGGAAACAAGCTCTATTATATTTGTGGCGCGTCTTTAGATGTTTGATGTCATAATAAAACCAAAATGGTTTTGTACTCGCATTGTTTACGTATCCTGTGTCATGGTTTCAAATGCTAATCATTTATTGTGGTTTTTGTTTTGGATGATACTCAGCAACACACAGGCTTTGATTTCATTCTGCTGCTCGTTGTATTCAGTAAATCCTGAATATCAAATAATCCTTTTAGGTTATTGACAATGATTTTGTATTAATATTTAATTAGTTGAGTTTTAAATCAACAGAGAGCTGGGTTGACATGCGGTTGTTAAACACAACCATGAACTGCATCTTTCAACATGTGTTGGGGAGTGAAGTGTGTTTCAGGAAGTGTTCCTAATGATAGAGTAGGGTTTTTTTATTTATCCATACTTTAATTGATTGATACATGATTATGATTGGATTTATAAACATACATTTTAAAGTTGAAGCAGTTTAAAACCAAAATGAGTTACAATAAGACATCTTTTCTGACCCTGACAGTGCTGCTGCATGTCCTCCTAATTTAACTACGTACAGAATAAAAATGTGTGTGTGTCTACATTTGAAGATGATCTGTGTGTGCGTGCGGACACACGTATTTTCTTCTGTGGGACAGTCTCTCGATGCTGACGTGCTGAAACAGTTGATGTCAACTGTTTGTGGCAACATGCCCAGAAAACTGTGTTTGTGTTTTATTTTGATAGCGGGTTGAAACATCATGTGTCAGGGAGTTTGTCCTAAAATGTGTTTTTGTCAGGCTGTTGTTATTCTGAACATGCTCCACCAGTTCAGATCAAACTCAACCCATTGTTTTGTTTCGTTTGAAAAATAACCCTGAGATAACTTCACCCATCTTAAGAAATAATCATTTTAATAATTTGTATTTAATTTTATATTATAAATATATATTTTAGTTTTTTTAATGTTGAATATTAACAATGGATCCTCCTTTAGCTCTTTAGATAGTCTGGCCTCTTAAGCTCCGAGTTTAGTTTTAGTTGCAGCAGATTCACAAATATACATAATATAAACTCAACTGGTATTTTGCATTTCCTCTCTCTACAGGAAGTGGTGACCCTGCCCTCCTGACACCCTGATTCCCCCTGCCTCCCTCCCCAAAGTCATTGCCCCGCTTCCCACCATCCTGACTGGGTGCCCGTGCTGCCGGCGGTGGATTAGAGCCCTCTGATTGGAGGCTTTGCGAGGTGGTTTTTCGGTCTGGCGCCGCCTCCCCCAGGGGCCGGCGTGCGCTCCCAGCAGCCCGTGGTGCCCTGCGCCCCCCCCCTCCCCATCACTGCACACCAGAGCCAATGCCCAAGGTGAGACCAGGACTGCCCTGATATGTAGTGTGATACTCAGAGGACATAGAATACATTGTTGGTTACGTTTTCAGTATATAGTATTCTCATGTTAAATGAAAGATTTCACTATTTTCTGACATTTTATAGACTATTTATAGAAACAATTATTTACAGTTTATTGATGATGAATATGTAATCAGAGGGAAATGGAATCTCTATCAATAAAGGAAACTAATGAAAGGGTAAAGCACCACTGGAAATCAAATATGTTGGCGACGGGTATTTTCAAACAAATCGGCCATCGTAAGAGCATACTTCATCTAAAGAGTGCTTAACTGTGACACAAATCCACATCAGTTTTCTCTGACACCTTCTCTCCTCGGCAGGAGGAGGCGCGGTCCGTCCGCCAGGAGCCATGTGCCTCCCTCACACCAACAACATGGAGAACAAGTTACAGGGGGCGGCGCAGGGGGGAGGGGCTACACTACGGTCACGGCCAGGAGGCGTCCCACTGGAGCCCTTCATACACCAGGTGGGTGGCGATGACGTGTGTGACGGAAAAAGCTGACGTTATGTTCGAGCTCAATGCTGATGATACGGTTCTTTTTATGAGAAAAAAAACCTTCACGTCCAGGTTTTTTCCAAAGCGCTGACGGTGTGCTTGGAGAGCCTTATTCTGGTGTTTCATCCCAAAAAACTCTCCCTGGATTTTCTTTAAAATGTTTTGGAAAAAGAATCTGACCACATAATGACCTCTCTAACTGCCGTGATTTGACAGATCTGCATCGCCCCTTTACTTTTTATTATCGATCGGTGTTACCCTCTATTTGTTGACATTGTTTTTCACCATAAGCAACAACCGGAGGATTTTGTATGAATAAAGTTCATATCTACATGAATGATGTCCCCAGCGATTTTCTGAGAGTTGAGATATTTTCTACTAACAGCACTCGAAGCAGCTGCACATAAACGACAGAGCACTATATGGACAACCATAGAGTTTCTGTCATTTTTGCTATCCTCTGTCTGTTTTTCATGTGTGTGTTTGTGTGTGCAGGTGGGGGGTCACACCAGTATGATGCGTTATGATGACCACACGGTGTGTAAGCCTCTGATCAGCAGAGAGCAGCGCTTCTACGAGTCTCTGCCTCCAGACATGAAGGAGTTCACTCCGGAGTATAAAGGTCAGTCACAACTCACTGATTTGAAGTATTACTGTAGCCATGGCTGCCAGCTGGATTTTTTTTGTATATCCTATACAAATCCTATTTGAACAGCCCTGTTATTATATGATGAGCAGTTCAAATAGCTACACACAAAAAATATATATATAAAATGTAAAACATATTTCAATTTGTCATATTCATTTAAGGATGAGAAATGCTTTGAGTGAAAGTAAAAACATGTGCACACCGTCTTGCTTACTGCTGGACTACATGATTTGATTGAAATGTATCAAAATCAGATTAAGGTAAAATAAGATAGGATAAGATATAACAAGATGAGGAGTTCAAACAAGGGTAATTGGAATAACATATAAGAGACAGTATATACAGCAACATCTAAAACATTTCAACATATTTACAGATAAGAATGATTATGAATATGTTAAATATATATCCAAGTAAGTTGATATGATGCGCCTGTCACTCTTAAGATATCTCTTTTTCAGTGTTTGCATGACAGCAAGCTTTTATGTTTTAATTTAATGGTTGATTATTATGAGGTTTTTTGCAACACCCCAAGATATGCTGCTTCCAGAGAAATCCAAGTCCCTTTTTTTACAAAAAAATATTTTTGGGCCTTATTTCCTTGTAATAGTAGTACAGTTGAAGATAGACAGGAAATAAAGGGCATGACTTACAGCAAAGGGCAACAGGTCAGAGGCCGCTGTACTTAAATCAAATGGGCTTCCAGGTCAGCCCCTCCTGCTACCCCGTATTTCACACACTGCTCTAAACTGTCTTTACTGCTCTGGGTTCAGTGGCTGGTGCAGAACCAGAGAGAGACGGAAGTACGGATGTTTACTCTCAGTGAAGTGTTCTGGCTGCTCTGCTCTCCATCACCAGCCACATCATGTAGCTGCTCTCACTCGCGTTTGCTATAGTAACACACACACACACACACACACACACACACACACACACACACACACACACACACACACACACACACACACCTCACCCTCTCCTACAACATGTGACCTTATTATCATTTAAGCAAACAATGTAAAAGAGGAGAACATTTCACAAGAAATGTGTCAGGTCACAAGATAGCATCAACAAACAAACAAAGTGAAATATTTAGTTATAAATGGAATGCAGTCTTATGTATTCCATTTAATAACTGTGTCCCAGTTCAACATTGCGAACATTCCTCAAGTACATAGCGGTTTCACAAAGGAAACTAAACATACAAATACAAAATATTTGATACAAATGGGGGCTCGTCCGATCTTTGAGACAAAGAGTGAGTATTTGTTTGTGGTCTAGTGTTGATATTGTGTTTGGTGGTGGGCGGTAGTGTATATAGATGTAGCATTGGCTGTGAAGTATCTTACTGTTTAACAGCTTCCTCAGTTTAGATAGGGGAGTGTCTAGCTGGGCTGAATCAGTCCTTCCTTCAGGCACTCGTTTTTTAACCCATATTTTTGGTGTTTTGTTACTTCTCTTTGTACCCCTAGTTAGGAGTTTTTTTTTTACTTCCAAAAACAACCTAATTTAAAATCTTCTATAGTTATTTTAAGGCAAATTATAATTCCTAAAGATTTATCTTAGTTCCATCTTTTTTCTTCGTTGCTGCTTAACGCCACTTGCCATCAATCGTCATTATGTTAACCAACAGTTCATTATTTAATCCATTTGGCAGTCTCAAGAAACGCAATGCATTCTAGGGCGTTTGAGTATGTCCAATAATCCGACATCTTCTACTCAAATATTCTTGGAAAATGGGTTTACATCAAGGCATTTCTCACATTCACAAAATACCAAATAGTATACAGTTGAAGCTGCTGCATACTCAACTTTAGATCATAATGAGTTTAAAGTCAGTAATGCGAAAAACACAAAACAACTTTTGTTCAGAATTGTACATTTAATATCTAGATTGTAATTTAGACACATTGTTTTAGACATTAAAAACATACTAATTAAAGAAAATAATATTCTTTGACATTGTATAGACTAACAATATTATTAATATAAAATGTGGTAGTTTATTTATTTAAAGGGGACCTATCATGCAAAATGCACTTTTGTACGTCTTTTCTACATGAATATGTGTCCCCGGTGTTCCAGGGAACTTACCAAGTGTCAGAAAACACAACCCTCTCTATTTTCCTCCATACCCAAATCTCTAAAAAAGGGGCTGCAACGGATCTGATAAAAACTGATCCAGATTTGAACACTGTCCTGACGTCAGGACGGTGGCGCTACGGCTATTGGGCCAACTCCACCAATCAGGAGGAGACAGCCACGGCCATTGCTGTTCGAAAGCGCTGGAGACGCTGTAGTACATATGTCAGGCCAGTAGATGGTGCTGTTCTCACTGAATCTGCCCAGAGCTAGAAATTGTCAAATTGAGCAAAATGAGGCATGGCTAAAATGCATGATCTGTTTGGAATTTTGAAAAAAAAAAAGTATAAATATGCCTTATATAGGTATGGTCCTACACTATATTATTCAAATATAGCATGATACAAACACCAACGTGATTATTTTGAGGTGGTCATGATTCAAAGGTTAAACATCACTGTTTATTATTTTTCTATTTACCTTGGTGCATATATTCCCACTACACTGACCTGCAGCGCTCAGATTATCTTTATTCCCACCAGTTCACCTTGCTGGTGTTGGCGGTCCAAGTGCCATGACAACAGTGATCCATAAGGAGTCTATATTTAGCCCTGGACCTCTGCCCACTACCATTGTCCTGCTGATTAAATAACAGCAGACAGACAGACAGACAGACAGACAGACAGACAGACAGACAGACAGACAGACAGACAGACAGACAGACAGACAGACAGACAGACAGACAGACAGACAGACAGACAGAGAGACAGGGAGAGAGACAGACAGACAGACAGACAGACAGACAGACAGGGAGAGAGACAGGGAGAGAGACAGACAGACAGACAGACAGACAGACAGACAGACAGACAGACAGACAGACAGACAGCTGCCAAGGGATGACTCTGAGTCTGTCAAGGTTGTTTTATCCACAAATTGTTTGGCATTATCAGATCAAATGTGTCCTTGTGTTGTTGTCTGTGGAGGTCAAGTCATGTTTGGTGTTTTCAGAGCGCACGCTTTAGTTTGGACGAGATCTTTGGAGTTGATTTCCCACTATGGAGCTAACTGAGTGTAAAATGTCATTTGGAAAAACAGGGAGGATGTTCAGTGTCTCACTTAGTGGAGATGAGATGCTCTACTCTGCTCTAAAAATAACAGCTTAATGTTTACATAACAAATCTATCTAGGTTTTTCATCTATAAACTGTTCCTCAATTGAATTTACAGAACATTTACTAAATCTTGATACACAGAAGGATGACAAATGGCAGAAAAAAACCAACATTAACGGTGTTAGCATGGTGTTCCTGCAACACAAGCCTTAATTGCTTAAATATTCAGGTATTATTATACATTTAAAAAAAAAAAGAAATGCTTTATAATTCTCTTTGTGTCTGTCTTGTAATTCAATTTAATTAGGCAATTCTTGATTTGTATAGACAATCTCTTCTTTTGTTTTTCACATCTGTAATTCTGAGTGTACTACAGTATTTAAATACTACATGGTAAGAGTATTTGTCCACCAATTTAAAGTCAAAACTGCTGCACCTAATGAAAAGATTGTTGGTCAACATTTTTGAGAAACCCTATGAACAGCCTACCAAAATGAACAGATTGAGGTTTGCCAACGATAATGTGTCTGACCCTAACCATGTGTTTAACAGTATATGTGTTATTGTGCTTCAGTTATTGTCAAATGTATTTTCCATTGTTTCTTGTCTTACATTTTTTTGTCAGTCTGGAACTGCCATGAAGTATCATCAGGTCGTATCTGACCTTCCTGTCTTTATTTTCTCCCTCCTGTCAGGTGTGGTGCTGGTTTGTTTCGAGGGCGACTCTGACGGCTACATCAACCTGGTGGCTTACCCGTACGTGGAGAGCAACATGGAGGGAGGGCCCGGCGAGCACGAAGAGCGTGACCCCCCCGAGAGGGAGCAGCCGCGGAGGAAACACTCCCGACGCAGCCTCCACCGCTCTTCCTCTGAACACAAGGAGGATCGGCCCGACAGGAGGGAGTCACATGACCCAGAGGCCTCTGATAAGTAAGATCATATTACTGGAAGAAATTGTTTTAGAGTTGGAAACATTTTAAACTGGTTAATTTATACTTATTTATTATTTAAATGTGAAATTCGTTCCACAACCTTTGTTCCAGCTTGAGGATTTTATTATTTGTTCTGTTTTATATGATAGTGAATTACATATCTCTGGAGTTTGGTCTGTTGGCTGAAAGATGTCCCATTTGGCTCAGAGAAATTGTGACAGGCGCCATTTTCTGACATGTCAAAGACATGTATTGACCCCTCAAACAAATAATAGAATTTAGAACGATTTAAAAGAAATAACATTGCATCTGTGGCCACGAAGCTTAATAGGAAATGTAGTCGTTCAGGACTCTACTGGAGTCTTGATCCAGTCAATAATGCCAAGCTCACTCTTTCAAAGAGAGGCAGCCAGAATGCAGCTTTAATATGAACATTTGAGGGAATGTGTTTTATTTCTATGGCGTACATTTGCCGTACATTGTAGCCAAACTCACGTAGGGTCTTTACAAATGTTTGCCAGTGTACTTAAGGATGAATTATAATTAAATAGCGATCTTCAAACTTTTCCTCCTTCTTCAGGTCAACATTTGAATTTGTCTAATACTTTGTTTTGTGACCATATACTCTGCATTTTCTACAGACTAATGACTTCCTCATCTGCTGTACTTTGTTTTCACTGCTGATTTTGTGCTGTCAAGGACAAATGTTAGCATGCTAACACTTGAAAATGAGATAGTAAGCATGGTAAACATTGTACATGCTAAAAATCAGCATTTTATAATGCGGACGTTCGCGTTTAGCTCAGGAAACTGCTGCCTCTCAAAGCTGCTGGTATGGCATTTTAGGTCGGGGCATTTGATTAATACATTGTTGTAGGCATGTAAGGAGAATTTCAACAAATGTAACAAAATGAATTTTAGACTCAACTAGATGAAAAGACGTGAGTGTGCGCCAACTGAGACAAATGTGCTCTTGGTAGTGCAAAATGTAGGTGAACATGTGCTGTAATCACACAATAGACTTTATTTGAATATCTAGACTTTAATTTAGACATATTGTTTGGACTTTTAGAAATGACCAATCAAATAATAATCCTCTCTCCCTCTGCAGTCTTGCAGAGCTGAAGAGTCCGCGGCTCGACCCGAAGCTGCACTCGGACGTTCCCTTCCAGATGTTGGACTGGAACAGCGGTTTGAGTTCAGAGAAGATCAGCCACAACCCCTGGAGCCTGCGCTGCCACAAGCAGCAGCTCAGCCGCATGAGGTCCGAGTCCAAGGACCGCAAACTCTTTAGTATCCTTTCTCAACCAACCACATCCTCCCAATCTCACTGTGTACTTTGCATTTCAATCAAGGGGTAGTTACTAGCTTTCCCACGGCTATCAAAACTTCAAGTTTACACGTTATAATCATTTTAGAGAGTCAATTCAATGAACCTGAAATGAGTCATTTAATCCAATGAATCACCTTATTTAACTTAAGGAGTTCTTATTTAAAACGTGTAGCTCTGGAAAATAAATGACACCTTAGATTTGTTTTCGTCAGACTACCTTTTCAACATCAAAAATAAACTTGACCTTGTAAATGATGATAAATAATGCAAAAATATGCGTGAAGGCCTGCTGTGTCACAGCACCTGAGGGAATGTGGCTGTAGAAATTATATAAATATGTTAATACAAGCACTGAGTAACTAATGTGAATCTAGTGGTTCTGGCTGAAAAATATCATCCAGGAGAAATCCACTGCGGCACATATCACTGCCCACTTTTTGGAGTTGAAGTTTAGAGCTGCAAAACATTTGAAGTAGTCAATTGGGCTTGGGGCTAAAGTGTTTCATTCTAATAACTTATTTATTCATTCAGTAAATAACCGACGGATTATTAGACGATACAAATAGTGGTCAGTTGCAGCCCTGGTGGAGTGTACCAATGCAACGAGAGGCACTGAATGTAAATGTCAGTGAGACTAAGGAGGAGGTGAGGTTATCAGGCCAAAGGTCATGTTTTGATCTTGAGCTTCAAAGAGAGCAGCTGTTTGGAAAGCACAACAACACACACACTGTCCTCAGCGAGGTCCATCTGTGTCCAGGCAGAGCAGCTCCAACAGCCTGCTGTGGACGGGTCACACTGTCAGCTTTTCACTTCGTCTGTCCTGTGCCTAATCATATTTATCTTCCTGCTTTTTTTATGTCAAGTTTATAGTCGGATAAAAACCTGAGCCCATTTTTCATTTCAAGTAAGAAAAGTGACTATAACATACATTATTTATTAATGGCCGAAGCTTTTATGTGTCTCATTGACGAAAAACGCACATTTATTTGAAAAATGATCTATTTAGAGACACGCTTTTATTTTTAGTTTTCATTCTTTCAGTTCATAATAAATAAATGAAAACGTTTTAATTTAACTAAATCATTTAAACTTACATTAGTTCCCACAAATACGTTTCAGTCTCTTTAATTTACCATTTTTAAATAGTTGCTAAGATCAAACTCAACATTTGCTGCAGAGGTTAATGTGGAACAAAATGGTCAAAGAATGGAATTATAATTCATTATTGGACCTTTGGACACTTTTCTTTGTGCTTCTAGAATTGTTACCATATTTTTTTTCTGAATTAAATGCAAAACATAATAATCTGTTGTGTGATCTTCTCCACGCCCATATAACAAGATGGGTGGAGAAGATCAGGAATGATTTGTTTTAGAAAGAAAAGTTTGCTCCTTGACCGCATCGTTTGAACCAGAGTTTCTGCTGTTGGAGAACGTGGTTCATCACTTCTCCTACCCCTGCATCCTGGACCTGAAGATGGGCACCAGGCAGCACGGAGACGACGCCTCCGAGGAGAAGGCGGCCCGGCAGATGAAGAAATGTGAACAGAGCACTTCAGCCACGCTGGGAGTCAGAGTGTGTGGCATGCAGGTACAGCAACACCTTTACAATGATCAGCTGAGGATGAAGGGCGAAGTAATACAGGCTCCTTTCTCTCTAGGGCACATGTCAATTTCAAATCCTTAGGTTTGTACATTAGTCTTTGAAAATACTTAAATGTACATACACAGACATGGGTCATTGAATGTTGAATGTATATATTTTCTGCAAGAAAACAAATATAAATAATTTTTTATTAAAAAAAAAGCGAGTAAATAGGCTTTAGTAACTAACTTTAGTTGAAGTTGCAACATTTTTAACGCCCCACCTGCCTGATAGACGCTTGTCCAAATAAAAACATTGTTGTTACATACATACCTTACATGCAACTCTGCTGTGTGAGGTTGTGCCTGAAATGAACTCTTAAAGTCTGTGAATTTGATACCATGGAAAGGTTTGGAACACCGACTGCAAAATGACATGCATTAAAAACTGTGCTTGGGGAGTAAGCGTTCACATGTAACAGGATACAAGTATTCCCTAACATAAAAAAAAGATATCATCAGATTACTGTTATTACTTTTCTATAAGCTGTACTGTTCTGTAGGTTAACACTTTAAGTGTCTATACGCCTACTGCCTGAATCTGCTTGGTGAAAAACCTATACATGAGTTTGTGTGAGCTTAATTGTATGTATTAAACTAGAGAATTTTCTGTCAGCTCAGACTTTCTGCTTTTTTAAACTGTAGTATGTGCTCATGTGTTTCATTGTTGGTGTATAGACTACTGCCTGAATAGGTTACTGATACAAAATATTTTACAGGTAACTAGTATTTGTAACAGAATACATTTTTAAAGTAACCCCTTCGAACCCTGATTGAACAACTGAAGGCATCAAATGTCTAATCTTAAATATGAACAGTTGTACCGATGGCGTCAGCAGCAGGTGTTTGACTGTTCCCACTCTGTGTCCCTGCAGGTGTTCCAGCTGAGCACCGGTCACTACCTCTGCAGGAACAAGTACTACGGCCGCGGCCTGTCAATCGAAGGCTTCCGCGAGGCGCTCTTCCAGTACATGCACAACGGGAAGGGTCTGAGGCAGGACCTCTTTGAGCCGATCCTGAAAAAGCTGCGCAGCCTGAAGGAGGTGCTGGAGAGGCAGGCGTCCTACCGCTTCTACTCCTCTTCACTGCTCATCATCTATGAGGGAAAGGTGAGCTCAAGTTTTAGAGACGATATTTCATGCTCATTTTCAGGTTCATGTTTGTATTTAGAGCCTCTACTGGGACATGTCTCCATGCTTTAATGTTCAAAAAGCTCTTTATTATTCTCATACTGCCTGTGCTGCTGCACCTCTTTTCACCCTCTGTCTGAAACCAGAGCCCAGTCTGCTCTGATTGGTTAGGAGGCCGTCTCTGTTGTGATTGGTCAACCGCTTAGAGATGTCCCAACCTTTGGCCTATCATGTACAATGTGTTGGAGCGCTAGCCAATAGAAGCACAAGTTTTACATAGTGATGTCACCATGTTAAGGAAGTAAATCCTCCATTGGAGGCATTTCAGGCAGTGAAAATCTCCCTCTGGAGGGAACACAGGGATGTTAGCCTTTGCAGACCATTTACATGCACACAAACCTATAGAACACTACAGGAAAGGGAAACCCCACATGTTTTCATCATGCTGATTCTTCCTGATTCTGTCTGTAGGAACCTGAGCGTGCAGCGTCCCACCAGAAGACTCCCGCGGCCCCCGCAGAGCCGCAGTGTGCCCCCAGCCCCCACGCACCCCCAGCCCCAGGCGCTCCCTGTGAAACGGTCATGAGCAAGAACCCAGACCCGGGGCCTCAATCCTCTCAGGGGCCTGCTTCCGCTCAGGGACCTGGACTGATGGCCTCCCCCTCCCCTCGTCCCCCCCCACAGGCCCCACCCTCCAAGTCAGACTGCCACTCTTTCCTTCCCCCTCTCCCTTCGCCTCACCCCATACAAAAATCCTCCTCCCCAGCTCTCAACTTAAGCTCCTGCCCCCCCCCTCCACCTCCTCCTCCACCAGCCCCCCGGCAGCCACCCCCCCTGGTGGACGTTCGTATGATCGACTTCGCCCACTCCACCTTTAAGGGTTTCCGCGGCGACACGGCGGTGCACGACGGGACGGACCGGGGCTACGTGTTCGGACTGGAGAGCCTGGTCAAGATCCTGGAGAGCCTGCAGGACGACAACCTGCCGTAGCTCCCAACACACACACAGACACACATATACACACATATACACACACACACACACACACACAGACACACACATTTGTTGTGAGTTAGTTCAGGTCGTGCGGTCGTGTTTTCTAGAGAACTGAATTGGTTTCGCTGTAAATATGGACTGAGGTTCTTGAGGGCGTCACCATGGCAACGCGGGCATTCTACAGTTGAGTAGTTACTATAGCAACAGCCAGGAGGCGGGACAGTGGAGCCAAAATGGCTGCAACCTAAAGCTCATATGAAGAAACCTTTGCAAAACACACACCTTTGTACTTCTACACTTGTGAGGACCTACATTAGCATAATGCATTTCGTTCTACATAACCTACAGTTCACCCGAATATCTACCAATTTTTCCTTCTCAGCCACACTGCTTTTTTTCAATCTTGATTGTTTTGGTTTAAGTAGCCGAGTTATGGAGATATCCATAACGAAAGATGTCTGCCTTATCTCCAATGTAATGGAACTACATGGCCTGTGGTGCTAAAAGTGCCGAGATCTGCAATGTCTCTTTTCACTAATCATATTGTTTCATCTAGGTACTTTTTCTTTCTACCGAAGTACTCCTGCCAACCCTCATCCTTTATTAGATACATGCCTCAACTATACGATGAGAGGCTTGTGTGCGATGATACAGTTGGCGGATGTAGTTTGGTAAAAAGGAATTAGTTCCTACATTAAACTGCTATCAACATGGTCTTTGGATTATCTTGAGGATCATGAGTTTTCAAATATATTTTTGGCACTTTTAATGCCATCTAGTTTCATTACACTGGAGAGTAGGCAGACATCTCTCACGCTTCAACACCAAAACAATCTGCATTGATTTATAGCACCACAGCTGAGACTTGTTAGAGTCCCCTTGCACTCGCAAATGTGCTTCTCTTCTTCACCGTGAAGTTCTTGCTTCACTGTGAGAATGATATATGTGTTTGACACCAGAGGGATATTTTAACATATATCTGCAACAGAAGGAGGGTGCTCTGTGCTTTCCTTAAATCTGAGTTTTAAGATGTGTACATGTGAGTTTCTCAACTGGTTCGGAGCCAGTCCTGATTCAATAAAAGGGACAAGTAGTAGATGTAGGTGACTGAATTTTAATGAGGCCTTTTTTGTAGAAAAAACACACAGAAATTACTCTTCAAAGCGGATCACTTCTATGTCTTAAAATCTGTTGTAGGGGGTCTTTAAACTATAGAAAGGAACAAAGCAGATGAAAGTGAAAAACATGCTTCCTGTGTCAAACTCACATAGGTTATTCTGCACAGTGAGGATGAAACATCGAGTGAAATAAAAACACTGAAACACACACACACAAGTCAAGGGGGTTTCATAATACCACTTCACACTTTGAAGGATGAGAGGACCATCCAAAAAACATCCTTATTCCCAAGGTTGAACATTTCAATTGGTCCTGATTAAGATATACAAACAACCGCACTCTATACACACACACACACACACACACATACACACACACACACAGACACAGACATCCTGGGAAAAGTTGTCTGTGGACAGAGCGTCCTCTGCGCGACCAATCAGCTGCATCCCAGGGGCCGCCCACTGAACACTCACTTTATGTCCCCCCCCTTGCTCCTCCCCCTCACTCCCCTGACTCCTCCCCTCTTCTCACCCCTCCACTCTTCTTCGCTCCTCTTTCTCTACAGAAACCAAACCCGGACAGATGAACAGACTCTTTCAGCGTTCCCTTGAAAACGCACTCCAAGCATCTGTTAAAGCAATAGATGGAGGTGATAGACTGCAATGTTTGTTTGTTTTCAGCAGTGCAGAGGGCAGCATTGCCCCACAGGGAGAACGGGGATAAAGTATAAACATAGAAGTAGGCTTAAGGAAAGGGTATAGATCATTTCTTTAAAAAAAAAAAAAACGCTGTGTGTCCGTTTTTGGGGCTTACGTCAAAAACGTTAGTAGTCGGTGTCCGTAAATCATCCTCTGGGTTTATTGTGTAATACTGAAAGCATAAGTGTCACTTCCCTAAATCTGGTCTGCTGATATTTTTCTTATTCTCAACAAATCCCATTTAAAAGAAAGACTCAAACCAACAACGAAATTATCCACTTACACCAATTGTGTGTATCAAAATCCTGATGTATCTTCTTCCTTTCTTCCATGGAGCTCCACTTTTGTCCAAAAACTATTAAAAACACACTAATAAGCCACACTGTTTCACTCGGCCCCATGTCCTTCATTAAATACTCATTAGAGCACCAATTGTGGTTAAATCTGCCGCGGAAAATAGTGCCCAACAAATGCACTGTCCTCCTGTTTGAGTAAGGTTTGCTAACGACTACAATGACCAGCTGATTTAGGAAATTACTGAGTCTTTCAAATGTGAGATTTAATCTCCTTTTTTGTATCAAATTATTTTTGGTGGTGTTTGATTTGATTGCCAAAGCAAGAGAGACTCTATGGGGACGTTGTGTTTTATCATCGGCCCCTCGGGCTCAAATGTCCCTTTCTTGACATAACAGCATATGGCCAAAAATATTCCCAAAATGTCCCATTAATAGTTTTAAGGCTCTGTTGTGTGGATTGTTTGTTTAAATGTCCTTTATAAACTCTAGCGCTACAGATAAATATTCACCAAGTTTTAAGAGATAGACTAACACATTGTTGGTTTGGGTCTTTGAATGGGATATATTGACAATAAGAAAAATAAGAAAAATATAGAATAACACCAGCCTTATTCTTTAAGTTAGGCCTGTGTGATATGGTTGAATAACAAAAATATTTTTCATATATATATATATATATATATATATATATATATATATATATATATATATATATATATATATATATATATATATATATATATATATATATATATATATATATATATATATATATATATATATATGTGATAAAATTACAATATTGAACAGCTGCGCAAAACCATACGAAATAATTAGATCCATGTTCATTGTAAAGAATTGTTTTCCATAAAGAACAAAACCTCCATCTTCTTTTCCCAGGTTTTTAAATTAGAGATTGCCTTGGAGTCATTCATTTGTACCACATTATTGTGTTAACATGATGTGTTTAAGTTTTTTAATCATAATGTTGCCCAGTGTACGGAAGCCCTGAGAGGCAAGTGAAAACTGGTAATGGGTTTTTTTTCATCTAAATATTTTTTATAGTAAAAACTTTTTCCCCAAGTTGATGTAAAGAAAAATTATCCTGGACAAACCTTTTTTTTTATATATCTGTTTTTAAGTATTTATTTTAAGCCTGAAGTTAAACTATTTAGAGTCATCATTGTTCTCACTTGCTTCTCAAGGCTTCAGTAAAAGTGTCAGCCACAAAACAAAAAAAAACCCTAATCTTTAAGTAATTGTCATCAGAATTGGGTATAGTTCATTTAAAGATATCACCATCCTCTTATCTGATTGGTCCTGATAAGACGGTGTTAGCCAATCACATTTGTCCATTTATGCTTCCGTCATCACGTTCCAGAGGCCGGCTGTGACGCAGCGCCGCCCCCTGCTGGACAGCACCGGGAGCTGGAATAAGAGAGAGCAAATATGAATATTTTATTTTTGGTTTATCGAGGTGATAATTTATTTTTTTATTGTACCTTTTACCCATGTGTTTGGGTAAATGTTCTGTCTTTTACATGTATCCCCCTTGCCACCCAACAAATGTATAAAATGTAAAGAAATTCAGAGACACAGTGTGTGAAATGTCAGAAATTCGCAGTATTATTTGAGTCCGTTTTATTTGCCGCTGCAGCTTCAGAGCTGTGTTTCATGAAGAAAACTGTCGCAGTAAATCCAGACTTCAGCGCGCTCAGTGACCCCAACACTTCTGCCTGCTTGTTGCTCTGGTGTGTGTTTGTGTGTGTTAGAACAGGTCGACGCCATCTTTAGTCTTTGGTTTGTTTCACTTCACATTTGAAGGAGCTGCATGCACATTAACGTCCTTCTGTTTGGGTCCGTTTCCAGCACAGCGTCAAACAATTTTGAGTCTAAAGCGGTGACGGGCCTCGTGTCCTCAGATAATCATGATGTCTCGTCATGGATATTATAGCCTCAATGCTCGATCAGTTATTTAGCAGCAGTTTCTGCATCTGACATCATCCTGACTGTTTGTTAGAACAGAGAAAGTAAAGTGAGATTAAATCTTTCCAGAAGCTTTTGGGCTCGTGTTGTAATTTACTCACAGACAGACACATCAAGTGAAGAAGGCTCCGGGTCAATGAGGCAAATGTTCCTCAGGCCAGTGTCCTCTTAATCCAACAGATTTACAAAACCTTTATATTGTCACAAAGCTTCCAAATCAAGCGTACATAAACGAGCTAATTTCAGGATATTCTCCAGTCTACTGTGCGCTAAAGGAGATGCGCAGAGTTATAGAATGAAAGCAGAGTCAAGTGTGTGTGTATAAGATTATGAAGTATTTATATTTTGAATAGATATATAAACTGCTTGTTAACACACAAAGGGAAACTGAAGACACAAGGTTACATTTATTCACAAATAAACACTTTTAACCCAATGTTCTTATTCATTCTCAGTGACTTGAGGAAGCTATACCAAACACAAATGCTTCCTTTTACATGAAACAAATTGGTAGACCAAGGCTAGCTCCTTTTTATTTATTTAGAAATTCGACAGTTTAGTAAAAATAAATGAAGTAAGTGAAGTGATAAGTGAATCAATTTAAAAACATCGAAAATCTTATGTGACCCTAACCCTTTTTGTATTCCCTGGGTCAAATGTTAAATGTATGTTTCTCTGCGCTAAAATCAATCACCTACAGCTAATATATGTAACCCTCAAATTTGGGGGAAAGAAAGTTATCTTTTTTTTTTTGCCTTTTCTTAAGAAATTGATATACTCAGGTGCAGAATTCAAACTGCAATTTAAACGAATTTCTTCTGCAAATTTAACCATGAAGAAAATCAGTCTCGTTCAATTACAGAGTTGTTATCAGGAACACCTAGTAACGGAGGGACGATTCACTAATCATATACAATTAACATTAGCAGCTGCTAGAGAGATGAGTCAAATAATTCAACATCACACATTCACATTTTAAATACATACATAATAATATAAGACCTATTTGGCCAAGAAGAATAAGGAACTAAATCAGGACTCTAAACCTCTAGAAACTGATTTCAACCAGTTTTGGGAAGACTTGTCATGATCATATGTACAACATATAACAGTAAGAGAAAGTCAAATGTAACAAAATTCAAATATTGAAAACAAATTGGCCCTTCACCTGGTAAATGATTAACATCAGATTTAGAATATGGATCACCAGAAAAACAAGAAAATCTCCTGCAACCTGTTGTTCGAGATTTAAATAAAGCGAACATTTTTCCCAACTGTTTCACAGATTAAATATATATTTTTAAAGAAATTAGAGACATCATCCAGGACCATTTTGGTACCTGTTCTGAAGTATTTCTTTTACGCCTGTCCTTAAAGAGAGATTTCACATCAAAGGGATTTGCTTTGATGTGAAATAGTACATACATTTAGAAAGGGTAAGATGTAAAAAGAAAAGGACTATATTAAAGTGGACCTATCATGCTATATTTAAATGATATATTGTAGGGCCATACCTATATAAGGTATATTTATACGTTTCTGTTTTCAAAATACCAAACAGATCATGCATTTTAGCCATGCCTCATTTCGCTCTATGTGCTGTTTGCTGTCTACGGGGCTGATTCTGTGAGCTGCAGCTGACCACGCCCCCCTGCAGGAGAGGGTAGCCTTGCTCTGATCAAGTCAAGAGGGGGAGAAAAAAAGATCTCCGTCCTCCGTGTTTTATTCTATATACAGTCTATGGTTTTATTATATTATTATTGGCCTATAGAGTCGTTATTCATTTGTTTTAAAGCTCAATAAATAACAAAGAAGACCTTTGACCGGCACTTTTCTAATTTTGTCCGGAAGATTTAAACTTTAACGGACATCTTGACCGGCGAAAGAAAACCTAACTGAAACTCTGCCGCACGGTCCCCTCGTTCCTTGGAAGAGGCGGAGAGGTGGGTGTTTGTCATCTGCTGGTGGACTAACCGGAGAGAATTACAGTGCTTGCCTCGACGGGGAGGGATTGCATTGAATTAAAGCAGCGGGAGCAAACGCTTGCCTCGGGGAGGGAGAAAAAAAGCCACAGCGGAGAATAAACAGAAGGGTAACCATGGTTACCATATGCGCGGGAAGTCTTCTTCGCTGCTTTTGTGGCAGACTACAGCGCCACTTACAGGCCTGGCATAGTACTACAGCGTCTCCGGCGCTTTCGAGCAGCAATGGCCAGCCGTGGCCCAACCGGGGACACATATTCATGTATAAAAGACGTACAAAAGTGCATTTTGCATGATAGGTCCCCTTTAAATTAAAAACAAGTTGTACAAGCAATACAAATATAAATAGATTTTTAGTATAAAATATCATATCAACTGCCGAAATATTTGTTTTACCTGTTTTTAAAGAAAAAAATAGGGCTGAGCACGCAGCCTTGAGGGGCTCCGGTGTTGAGGATCAGGGTGGAGGATGTGATGTTTCCCGCCCGCACAGCCTGGGGTGCCCGTCAGGAAGTTCAGGATCCAATCACAGAAGGCGCCGTGTTTGTAGCTCCCACTACTTTTAAGATACAACTAACATTTAAACCTCTTCCTGTATGCAACGCGGGGCTTTTGGTTTATTTTTCTTTCTTTCCGTTAAATGGCTTCGAAAACAAGCAAAAAGGAGAAGAGTACGGTGGCTGAGAGGTGCAGCCGACAATTACAAAGTGTGAAACACTTTAACAAAGCTTGAGACAAATTTACATTTTATAAAACAAATTTACATTTTATAAAACAAATTTACATTTTATAAAACAAATGTACATTAGCAAAACACTTTTACCAAAGAAAAAACGATTTAACATTAACATTAACAAAAACAAATTAACAAGATGCGAAACACTTTTACAAAGCTTGAGACACATTTACAAGTGCCGAAACACTTTAACATTTGCCGAAACACTTTAACAAACTAGAGAATCAAACCGGAAAGGGAATGCCCATCATATCAGAAGTGATTGACACAAACTTAAGTTTGTTTTGGCGGATATACCGCCGGTACCTATGGATCTTTATGGTCGATAAACATGTTTTATCCGTTCTGTGGAAACCACCTGGGCCAAGTGACATGGTTTT